TCTGAGGTACTTATCACCTACTCGGATCCAGTGTCTTGCTCAACACTTCCTTTCTTTCGGTCTTGATTTTGTATCCACCTGCATAGAAAAAGATGGTTAACGGTGGACCCCAGGTTCTTATGTGGCTTTTCAGTCTTGTTGAGTAACTCCCGATATCTTCCAACAGCCACGCCTAGTTAAAGAAATTTTACTGGTGTTCATCTTGATTGCGATATTATTATATAACATCTGGAGAAATGCATTCTCAATCCTAGAGAAGGGCAGTGTTTTACATTCCTCTGCTTTTTAGTCTTACAGCCTGACCGGGATAAGGAAATAACCTTCTTCGCGTACTTTGCCTGACTGGGATTATAAGAAGTTGAAGGCCTTGGCTTGAACAAATAACCACTTTTTCACCACCTAGGGAATTTAGTGCCTATCCTAATGGCCTCATGATTTCTTTGCTTCGGTTAAACTTCATTTGAAGAAGTGGAGGAGTTCGTATCCTTGTTTTTCTCTTTCAATCACCAGTGATGTCATCGGAACACGTGAGTCGACCAATAGGAGCTTGTTTACATTCTACTACTAATGTGTTTTGTATCAACCAATCAGATACCAGGTGATGTTGTGCTATCAAAAATTCAGGGTCAAACTGAGATAGGCAAAATCCCCCAAGAAAACTATGAAAAAAAGTAGACACTTTAAGAGGGTACAAGACAGTATGTGAAAAGGTAGGTAATAAGCCTTCCCCTGCCAACAAAACCTCTATTTCTTGTCACTTCTAGCTCTGTTAGGTGACACTCCACTTATCAGCACTTTTACTTTCTAGAACCTTCTTGCTCTTAGTAAAGGAAATGCGTATTTAAGTCTTTTTAGGCCACTAAAGGCTCAAGTTTTTATTCAAAGGAGTTTATAAACAAGTAAGGGAGGGTAGGAAAGATACATGAAGACAAGTTTCAAGTTGTTTTAATGAAAGTGTAAAGATTTTATTAGCAAGAAAGTAGAAAACTTCTTGCGAACATCTTTTTTGTGTGTGGTTAGAGGATCAGCGGAAAGAGTTTTTTTTAAAGGAAACTATCTACTCTCTTATCATGTATTGCTTTAAGAATACATTTTCTCAATTTTTCTAGTGAATTTTGCCTATCTCAATTTAATCCTAAATTTTGAGTAGCACAAAGTTTCTCAAGCAGTGATTGATTAGTAGGAAACATGTCAGTAAAGAAATATAAACAAGCTTCCATTGATCACTTTACATGTCTAAATGTATTTTCTCAGTATCTATAAGAACCTGGAGTCCACTATGAGTTATATGCTATAGTGTGGATAAATACAGGATATGAATATCTATGACATTATTGGCTATATTGAAAAAGTAGTATTGAATTAGGACATACTGAATAGAAAATATTGTCTTTTCATTTCTCCTCCCCTACTCCAGTAAACTTAAGTAAAAAAATAATGATCTTATGAAATAGGATTCTTTTAGGAGAGTTTTAAATATCTATTATCTCTTCTTTGGAAACATATTTGCTACCTTTTTAAATAACAAAGTATCTTTCCAAGAATAGTACTAGTCAACTCTTTTTTTATATAAAATTTTTGGTTAAGTATTAGTGGAGATTAAAACTTCACATAAGAGATCCCCAATATTGGTGATGATAAGTACTTCAGATGAATCCTTGACACATTAATTCCCTTTTTAGGGATAGCAATAAGCCACCCAGTGAACCAAAACCTATGTCATGTTTCTAGAAAGTGCCTAAGTGTAAAATAGAAAAGTAATATAATTTGTGCATCATTCTTTCTCTTATTTTTTGCATTTTGCTGTTGTAAGTAATTAATCTATACTAGATGGTCATGTAATTATCTTATCCTGGTTGGGTGAGATATAAATAATTAACTCTTTGTACTATTCATTGATCTGCAAATCCTTAGACAGTACAGGTAATTATTCATCCCAGTTGTTCCTAGATTTTTTACTTACTCTAATAAAATACAAAGCACATGAGCACAAGGATGAACTGGCATCTTAAAAAAAAAAAAATATCGTTTATTCATCAAATTATTTGTTTTTTTGAATAACAAATCTATAGTAAAACGTCTTACTGATTGGCTTAAGCTTTTTTTTTTTTTTGCTTATATAAAAAATGAAAACCGAAACCCAGCGATTTTTAAAATATTAATTTATCGTCGAACCGGCTAAAATTATAATACGCATGCGTACCCCTGAATGACCTAGTCACCTGTTAGCCGGTCGACTTCAATCACTATCCGAAAAATCCCTGCCCCCTTTGCCCATCTTGCTTATTATTGTTCCACAAGAATTCAGGTGAATTATAAAAATGGGTGTATACATCAGTTAAAAAAAGTTATGGCTTCAACCCCTCCTCAGGAAGATTACATCAAATCTAATTCGCATATGTTCTTTTCATATCCACCTGAGAGTTCGTCTTTTATTGATAATAATTCATGCGACAGACAAATTAAAATATCAGGAACAGTGGTCATAAGATTACCACAGGCCATAGATGTTCAGAAAGTGTTAGTAGAATTCAAGGGCGTGGAAATTGTAAAGTTAATACTTGGAAAAGTTTACTGCGAAAATATTATAGATGTATCGAAAGTTATATGGCAATCCGAGAATTGGCTAAATTATGAATCAAAGGACGAACTTATGTTGCCATTCGAGATTAAGGTACCGAGTGAAATTCCAGAATCATTTGATACAAGTTATGGTGGCGTTAAGTACACACTTAAGGCGACGCTTATTACGAAGAAGGAAAAGAAACCAAAATATTTCATAGAAGTTATTGTACCTGTTACTAAGTGGACAGAATCAATGCTCGAGGACTTACGACCTCTGACAATAAAGTCCCAGCAAAATAGAAATCGCAGGAATCTTATCTCATGGAAAATTTGCTTGCCTAAAACATCTTTTGATTTAGGCTCAAGATTTAACGTCAAATTAGAACTAACGGGACAAAATCCGGAACTTAGAGTGCATAAGATTATTATGTCCTTGAAAAACTTTATTCGTTACAAGGTTGATGGTGATAACGTCTTTGATTTTCAGAAGGAATATAGATGCTTCAAAAAGGTGTTACGTAATAAAGATATCTCGATACTTCCGGAAGGAATCGAAAGCATTTTTGAAGTCACGACAGAGATGAAAGTACCCGAAGATGCATTGCCTACATGTCAAACTAAATTTATGACTATAATTAATCAACTTATAGTCAAAGTTTTCTTTGAAAAGTCAGGTACGCACACATTAATTATAAAGGATATATTTATTGGCAGAAATCCAGATTCTCAATGCAGGCATCAGAATGAGCGTGTATGCTCTTAACGTTTTATTTTCCTGATGCAAAGTACAATATATCTCGCGGAAAGTCACCTAATAGACTTTATAACCTAATATATTTATTAAATATTATTAATAATTTATTTATTAGGATAATATATAACAGTTAGAATTGCTCATTTATCTTTGTATTATAAATTGCATTTAATATACGTATTTAATTGTAAAATTTGAAGAAAATAAATATTTTATTTAAAGTAATTTTTTATATTCATAATAAATTTTGAAAAAAAAAAAACTTATATAATTTCGAATAACAAAATTTTAAGAATCAATTACATAACAAATTATTGAATTCTTAAAAATATGTAATTGATATTTTTTACTATAGAAAAATATGTTTAAAACTTAAAAACTTTTTTATTTACTATTTTTATTTTTTTACTTTTAGCATTTTGAAATAATATAGATTTTACTAAAAATAATTAAATTAATGGTAGAATATAAACAAGCTTCTACTAGTTATAATATATATTTTAATAATAAAATTACAAAAGAAAAAATTTGTTTAGTATTTTATTTCTATCTAATTTTTGAATTAAATTAATCAATATCTCAAGTTTTATAAAATCAATAAAATCTAAGTAACAGGTTTTTAATTTAATTCTTTAATTACATATGAAAAAATATTGATCAAAAGTTTTTAAATTTTCTAATTAATAAAGTCTTATTATTATTTTTAAAACAATTTGAAAAATATCATTAAGAGTCACTATTACACTTTTTTTTTATTCATAAATTTCTTTTATTAGAAATTTGATTTTTAATAATCAAAAAAAGTTAAATAATATTTTTATTGTCAATAGTAAAAAGATTCTAAAAAAAAATTAATTGTGAAGTACTAAAGATTTTTTTATCTTTAAAATAAATTTTTATAAAAATTTGTTGCAATAAAAAAACTTATTTTTTCTTTTTTTAACTATTTATATTCTCTTAAAACTCTTATTTTTATAGTTTTCTGAAAAATTTTATTTATATTAATTTGATTTTAAATTTTTAAATAGAATAATATTTATCTTTTTTTTTTTTAAAAAAAACCCTAGGTTAGACTAGGTATGTGTACTTTATTAAATGTTTGTATACTATACATTTTAAATGATTTGCTAAAGCTAAAACTTTACCTAATTCACTCGTTATTGTTTTGTCTTAATATACCAAAACTCTAAGTACAACTTCAGGAATGATTTATTGCTCCACTAATAGTTCAGGTTAATATTCTTCCAATCTTTAACATCATTGCCCACAGATCACTACTGCAGATCACTATCTATTATTCTGACCAAGCTTAAAACCCAACTACTTCATTCCATAAGTAACACTTTTGAGTAGAATTTCTTTCAGGCTTTTATTTTCTTAAGTTCCTTCCTCTAGTAAAGAATCTTTACTTTTGAAAACTAATGGTTTTAAGCTGTGTGTGCCTAAGGGTTGGTTAATTTTTTCTACTCTGCGAATTCTCTGTGAGTATTCCCATTTGATTATCTTCTCATATCTTTTGTTCCAAATCTTTTTCCTTATTTGGTTGCACACTCTTCTTTGCATCTTTGATATCCATCTTCT